ACATCCAGAGCTGTGACTTTTTGGACAGATGAGGAGACACAGTTCTAAGGATAGACCGATATGGATTTTTTAGGGCCGATGCCAATACCGATTTTTTTCCATCACCCTTAGCCGATGACCGATTATGGACTGCCGATTTTCTTGAGCCGATATTTGGGGCCTATACTGCTTTTGCTCCCTCAATTTACATAAAAAAATGACACAATGATAACAAATATTACAGGTCTCAAGTTTAAAATAAGAAACATTTATTGAACAGTAAAAAATACTAAAACAAGATGGAAAGTTGAGGTAGAACAGGTAGAATGTTATTATTATTATTATACATTCAAATAAAAAAAAGAGTTCAGTGCTCTTAAATCTTCCAGTAATGTCTTTATAAAATAAACAAATATTTAAGCTGAAGCATAAATAAAACAACAACTACTGTACACAGTAGGATTCGCTGCACGTGCGCTGCAGGGTCTTCCGGCAACACAGAGCTGCCCGTGGATGCCTGTCTGTAAATCATGCCAGGGAAAAATAAATCCGCAAACCCCTGCATGTATTGGCCGATGCCGATACAAGTAAAAAACTCAAATATCGGCCCGATATCGGTCTATCCTTACACAGTTCATGCTGTGTCAGCTGTCGTACAGCACAGACCAAATGTACAGAGCTGTAAAGTTGTCCACCATGGTACCAGTTAGCAGCTAGCTAACCGTAGCTAACTTGTTTGTCCATTGTTTGGTCTGTGACGTAATAGGTCAACAGGAAAAAGGTCCAATACTAACAAGCTGAAAGGGGGCATATCTCCACCTATCGTAGAGGAGTCGCACATACTTGGCTCAATAAATGGATTCCCCTCCCGTGCTTGTATACTGGGACAAGGACAGTAGGCCAGTTAAATTGCTGTGTCAAACAATAACCATAGCTCTATGTCTTAGTAATCTAAATGTTATTCTTTCATTTAGTGTCTAATATCAGAGGCATCAGATAAAAGTTCTGAGTGACAGATTAAGAAACAAATACCTGCCTGACACAACAGCACGCAGTGACAGTGTCTTCATCCCTGTTTTGTCAGATTTGGTAAACAGTTTGCAACCGATAAAATAAAATTCTGAACAAATGGCTGACAGTGTCTGTGCTGATGTGCTTTACCTCATGTCAAGCAAAAAAACAAAGTAACACTCTTCCTTTAATTACTTTAATTGTGTTTACAATAAGGAAGTATTTCTTATATTTGTGAATGGGAATGAAGCTGGAAACATGATCATGGAAGACAGAGCGCGGGGACGCAGAGATATGAGGAGAGGCTGTGATCACACTGGAAGTGTCCTGTAAGTTAAAACCAAATAACTAGATAATGTTAGCAGCAGACTGTGTGTGTGTGTGTGTGTGTGTGTGTGTGTGTGTGTGTGTGTGTGTGTTCGGCTCAATAAATAGAAACAGTGTAAGATTAGATCTGCTGCTATATGGAAGCTGGACACTCTATTAGCAGACACACAGCTATTGTTTGGTCGTTTGTTTCAGTCTGATTCACTCCCACTGTGAGCACACACACACACACACACACACACGCACGCACCATCTCTTTATATCTATCTCTATCTTCTTTTCTTGTTCTGTTGCTGTCTCTATCGCACACTCTCTCTAGCTACACACACACACACACACACACACAAACTCGCAGTGATAAATGGTCCAGTCGTGATCTCAGCCTGCATTGTTGATGAGGGTCATGCTGCCATGGTTACCGGAGCAGTGTCCGACTTCCCCTGCCCCGTCTTTGTGTGTGTGTGTGTGTGTGTGTGTGTGTGTGTATGTAGGCTATCTGTGTTTCCAGACCTAACACTGTGGTTACTTGCCCCATCCTTCTCTCTCTGTTTCAGTGTCTTAATGTGTGTTTGTATCCCCGTGTGTGTTTTTTGTGTTTTGCTCATCTGTGTAATGAACTGTTTGTTCATGTGTTTATTTGTTTTCAATCTGTATGTCTATGTGCTTGTTTGCATGAACCTGTGTGTCCCCGTAGTGTTTGCTCATTCTCTTGTTTGTCTCTTATTTCAACATTTCTGGCAGAAAATCACAGGTTTGTCTCGGAGGCTTTACAGTCTGAACAACATAAGACACTCGCTGTCCTGACACCCTCGATTTGGAAAGTGCAAAACTCAGAAAAAACTATGGGCAAAAAGTTTGAGAAATGAAAGAAAAATATAATCACTGTATCCCACCAAGACCTGCCAAGTACCATCACTGCAAAGTGCTAGGAATGAATGACTGAATGATTCTTGTGTCACACCACTGAAATGAAAGATAGAACCACATATAATTTAAGACTGTCAGTAGTTCACAGTCGTGTTCATATTTAAAAATGATTAATTTCTGCATACCTCACATTGTACATGATCCTTAACAACATAAAAAAGAGATTTTTAAATGTGTCCATATGTCGAGTAGAATAGATTATAGGACAAACTGTCAATTTCAGGATTTTCATTAAATCAGTCTTCCAACAAAAGGTAATCACAAGGCTTTTAAAGGGGTAGTGTATGGAGCTACATTAGGGTCAAATGTTTTGTACTTGAAAAAATAAAATTTGAAACTGAAAATTCATGCGTTGATCTTGAATTTTGAAAAATACAACAGTGTATTCAAAATAAAAATAAGTGTATGAAACGTTTTTTCATGTTAATTTTTAGTTCATTTTTAATTTTTTTCAGGTTTATTTTTTCACTTTCAGATGTTTTTTTTTTTCAGTTTCAAATCTGTTTTTTGAGTTTCAGACTTTGACCCTGATGTGGCGTGGGGGGCGTGGCATCAACTGAGAGGGGTGTGGAATCATGAGTGACAGTGTCTTCAGAGAACGTGGGAACTAAAAAAATTCTGACTCAGCACTTATATACACCATAATCATGTGACTGGCAGTGTAAAAATTGATGCCAGTGACAAACTTCCATTTAGAAATCTGTTTTAGACAGTACTGAGCACCAACTGCAGTATAAGAGTGATAAATTATGCCAGATTTTGCAGTTCAACAGCCACATTTTAAGTGCTGATATGTCCGATTTCCACATAGCACTGTGAACGCAGCGTAGTGTCCACTTCGCTTGCGATGATGGCGTCCAGTCGATCGGGTCAATCTGCTGGAGCCCATACATCCAGCACACAGGTGAGACATGTTAACTAAGTTTTGGGAAATCATAACTCATACATTAAGGGGTCGTTTTTGTGACAACATACATTTCCACCGCTCCATCGTCACGGCCCTGTTGATGCTTCCACATCCAGACGTGTCCCCTGGATGAAACTTTTGAGCTTGGGGAAAAGGAAACAATCCTAAAACACCTCCCTACTCACCTGACCTGGCTCCAGGTGATTTTTGTGGCACCAGGTGAGTAGGGAGGTGTTTTAGGATTGTTTCCTTTTCACGTCTGGATGTGGAAGCATCAACGGGGCCGTGACGATGGAGCTGTGAAAATGTATGTTGTCACGAAAACGACCCCTTAATGTTTGTTATGATTTCCCAAAACTAAGTTAACATTTCTCACCTGTGTGCTGGATGTATGGGCTCCAGCAGATTGACCCAATCGACCGGACGCCATCATCGCAAGCGAAGTGGACACTACGCTGCGTTCACAGTGCTATGTGGAAATCGGACATATCAGCACTTAAAATGTGGCTGTTGATCTGCAAAATCTGGCATAATTTATCACTCTTATACTGCAATTGGTGCTCAGTACTGTCTAAAACAGATTTCTAAATGGAAGTTTGTCACTGGCATCAATTTTTACACTGCCAGTCACATGATTATGGTGTATATAAGTGTTGAGTCAGAATTTTTTTAGTTCCTACGTTCCCTGAAGGCACTGTCACTCATGATTCCACACCCCTCTCAGTTGATGCCACGCCCCCCACGCCACATCAGGGTCAAAAGTCTGAAACTCAAAAAACAGATTTGAAAGTGGAAAAATAAGATTTGAATCTGAAAAGATAAAACATGCAACTGAAAAAAAAGACCTCAAATGTTAAAATATGCAGTTACAGCTTGACCTTCAAAGGTCCAGTGAGTATTTAGGGGGATTTAGTGGCATCTAGTGGTGAGGACTGCAGATTGCAACCAGCTGACACTTTCACTGATTAGAATTCCTTCAGTGTTCGTTGTTCAGGAGGTTTTAGCCAGGAGTCAAATTATCCACAGAGGTCTCTTCCTCTCTGAAACAAACAGACCAGGGGTCACATTCATCTCATCTCACAAAATGTATATACAGACAAAACCCAAAAATGGTGTACGCCAAAAAATATTTGACAATTTCTACAATCAGGCTTCCCCCTCACCATCTGTGTCGGCAATTTCCCTTCCCCAAAATGTTCGTAAGCATGAGTCAATGTTTCTCCCTCACAACTTGTTGCTTGGGTAGTGGTGTACACCTTTGTTAGGCCTCATTTTGTGCATACGCAATGTTTATAAATGAGACCCTGAGTGATTTAAGGCAGTAAGAACACTGAATAAAACAGTGTCACGTTACAAATCAGTGTTTCTCCGACCCTGTTTGGCATGTCAGAGATGGGCTGTTAGCACCTGCTGATGTGTGCTCACCTTTTTCCTCTAATAACCAAGATCCAAATGTTTAGAGCGCCGCATTATGCACAGAGGTCTGTTCCTCTCCAAAACAAATGGACCTGGTGATTTAAACCAGTAAAACACTGAATGAAGCAGTTTCGGGCTTGGCTTTTAACTATGATGGCCGACGCAAAAGCGTGAATGGCCCTGTCTGGAGCCAGTGTTTGGTTTGTCTGTTCTAGGCTACTGTAGAAATGTGGCAGGGCAACATGGCGACCTCCATAAACGAGGATCTGCTCCCTGTGTAGATATAAATTCTAAGGTAACAAAAACACAATACTTATTTTCAGGTGATTGATTCACTTCCAGGTGCTTCAAGGACCTCGATCATAACTGAAGAAGAAGATCATAGACTCAAACAGACACCTCTCTCACACTCCCTCCTGTGTCTCTCTCTCAGACCGTACCAGTGTGGCCACTGCTCCCAGTCCTTCTCCCAACCATCAGATTTGAGGAACCACGTGGTGACGCACTCGAGCGACCGACCCTTCAAATGTGGATACTGCGGCCGCGCATTCGCCGGTGCCACGACGCTCAACAACCACATCCGCACGCACACCGGGGAGAAGCCGTTCAAGTAAGTAACAGTGAGTACCCCCCCCACCCGACCCTCTGCCCCCTCCCCGCCTGCTGCAGACTCCGGCTGGGCTGACCAATTTCACTTAGAGATGACACCCAGCTAACACCTACTGACATCCTCTTAACCGCCAACTGACACCCTCATTACTTCTTCCTGACACCCTCACTATCACCTGCCGCCATCCCAGCTCCTGGGGGTGTCACCTTTTCTAAAGATCATGTTTCCATGAAGGAAAACAACCAACGAGCCTCACCTTAAACTGCGTGATAGAGCTGACTCATTTAGGTTAAGGTTTTTATTTTATTTTGTTTTTTACCTGCACATACATAAAGAACTAAAAAGAACTAAACCTGTGGTGTAAGGTCGTTACAGCTACCATGACGGGCCCTAAGGTTAGGCGCCTAAACATGTTACCATATAATCATGTTGTCACGTGATCACATAGAGACTTGACACTAGAAAGTACCAACACCCAGAAATCATCGTTGCATATATATATAGGACAAAAATACCAATATTATCCGTACCATATTGGCTATTGAAATAAAAAAGAAAACCATAATGGAGGTGGGTTTGCCTTTTCAAAGACATACGAAGCACACAGCATCATTTTTAATTAAATGTGAGTTTTTCTTTAAACACAGGCATATTTCCAAAGTGGCATCTTAATTACTCACAAGAGCCCCTTCTTGTCTCGCTGCAGTTTGGCTGCTGCTACTTTTATTTATTTTATTTTTTCGACAGCAGTTTACAAAACAAAACATAAAATGTGATAGTTATTTCTCCTGCTGTTCAATTATTTTGTAAGGGTCTTATGTATTTCACCCACTTTGCCCAGAATTAAATGAACACTTTTTTCTGAAGACGAAGAGAAAAAGTAATGTTTTCCATAACATTAATATAATTTACAATATCTATCCCCTCCTCTACTGTGGGGGGTTCAGGAAGCAGCCAGTGCCTTGTGAGGGCTTTCTTGCTAGCAGATATTAAAATGCCAAACATATGTTTGTCAGAACACTTTGCCTTAGAATCAGTGCATCCTAAAAATAATGTGGAAAATTGCAAAGGAAGATCAGTGTTAAGTATCTTTTTAGTGGCCTGATCACAGCACACTCCCAGAATACATGCCAGGGATTGGCTTCCTAACACCCACACAGGCTGCTGCTACTGAAGCAAAAAATGTGCAACTATGAGAAGATGAATAATCTAACATTTTTCTTTTTGGTGAAAATAACAGCACAACATTCAGAAAATGCAATACTCAAACTATACTTAGCTTATTTATTATTGTTATTATTTATTCAATTTGTTGATTATATTTATATTTACTAGTCCATACCCATTGAGTGCACAGTTGCTCACGTACAGTTTCACATGGTGTGTGTTTGGGATACAGGTCGTAGGAAATTGCAGATTAAATAGTCAACTGAACCCTTTAAGAAGAGCAATGTATTCAGACAGAGAGTTTGTGAATTTGATAGTACAGTTGCTTTATTGAAAGTACAGTAGTACCATTGCCAATAGTGGGATAGTTAAAACTGTACATTAGTAGTTGAGGTAGCACGTTGAAAGGCAGATAGTTAAAGTCATTGCCTTATAGAAGCTCAGTTTTAGTAAGTTTTCCAACTTTTGCCAAGAGGGAACTTTAGATATTGGTCCCTAGATTATGTTCACCCAGTTTCATGCAGATCGCTCAAACTTCCTAGCCTGGAAATCCAGACCCTAAATCTAGAAAGATTTAGGGTCCGGCTATGAGTAATGAAAATGGCCCAACTCGAGGGGCAGCACCAAGCATGCATTTGAAAATATCACTGCACGCAACTGGATAACACTACAACCAATCAGAACAATACTTATAGCTTAGCCACCAGCGGAGCTAACTGGTAGATTAGACTCTTGCCGTATCCAGTCAGCAAAACAGCAAAAACGTCCTTCTTGCAAAGGATAGATTCGAGCGCCGTCTTCTGTTCCTCTTTTAGAGAAAAAGCCAAGTCTGACTCGTTCATTGTAGCGGCCAAAGCCGTTTCAAACAGCTGGTGTTCATCTGTAGCCATCTTGCAATGTTTACTGACTGATTCCGGACTTCGTCGTCGCAGCGCTGTCGTCATCTGTTTAGCTCGCCTCTGGCCCGCCTATATCAGATACACCGATGTGATTGGTGCAGCTCGGCTCCAACAGCATGGGTAAAGAGCATCATTACTGATTGCCAGAGTGACTCGCTGAGCAAATTCAAATTGTGCTCTCGCGAGAACTCTGGATTTCCAGGGTACAAACAAATTTCACATGGATTGACCAAGTCAGTGAGGAGAAAAACGTGTAACAGACACACACAGAGTTTTCATCAGTTTATAGTAAGATATATTACACTAAAGTATATTTATCAGTTGGTGGCATTTGTGAAACAGTATTTATTTTTTATTTTATGGAATATAAAAATGACAAATAAATCTGAATCTCATTATATACGTGATGAACTATTTGAACCTTAAATGTCACACTTATCTCTAAATGTGTGTTTTTATTTATTATAAAAACATATAATGGATGAAATCAATAATTCCTTGTCGATCAGGCAGTTTCCCTCTCAGAGGTTTAGTCTCATGATTATATATTAAGTTGATCTCCTACTGTCAGTATCTCGACTTCACACTAAAATGAACTCTCAGTTTGTGTTTGTTCTGAAGATATTATCTCCAGTTATGAGAGGTGAAGCTGTGGAAGTTTAGTTCAGTGTGATCTCTGCTCCGACCTTTGCTCCTCTTCTTCAGTGACTTCCTGTGATGTTGGCCATTCAGGAAAATCTCCTCCTCTTCTTGTGTTGTGCTCGTTGTAAATCACTGTGCATGTGAGCATCACACAGCGTTCAGTGTAAATACAGAAGCAGCTCGATCACAGGCATTAGCGTCCTGGTGATGAATCTCTGCGCACTGACACTGCTCATTTCCATTTTTCTTTTTACCCAATAAAGACTGATATAATTAGAGGCCAGGCCACACCGCAATTAGGGGCTCCTGGAAGCCGCTGTTGTCATGCTGTCATCTCGTCAGTGGTGGAGGACAATAAAGAGTTTCCCTGTGGACGCAGAGGTCAGTGTTCAGCGAGAGGGCAGAGAGGAAAGAGGTATTAAAGAAAGTGAGGAAAGCGAAATAAGGGATTTGAGTTGTGGGGAATCCAAAGGACAGGTACCAGGGGAGAGTTGGGGGAAACAAATTAATGTCCTTAATAAGCAATCAGAGAAATCCGAACTTGTCATTGACGTGGGGAGCTAAAGGGCGAGAAGAATGAGCGAGAAAAGGAGTGAGAGAAAGAGCTGGAGGAACAAGAGATCACGGTGTAAAAAGTGAAACGACAAGCGCCGGCGAGAAATCCGGTTAAAGCAAATCAGCGTTCTTAATAAGCAATCGGAGGAAACCCCCGAACCTTTTCATCAGCACTTCAGAGTCTCGGTGGAGGCAGAGCGGGACAAAGACAATCATGTACGGGCGTCAGAAATCTTTAGCGGATCGATGGCCTCGGGGAGTTATCTCCTTTCGGACGGTGCGGCGAATAGATTAAAGCTGCCACTGTCACTTTGTCAGGAGGAAAACGCTCAACTTTATTTTCCCCGCTGAGGAGACGGAGGCAGGGAATCTGTGTGGTCGGCAGCTTTTCAGCACTGATACTCGCTGGACTGTGGAGGCTGTCAAACTGCTGCTGCTGTTTGCTCCGCTGCTCAATTGTTCTACCGTATTCAGTCACATCTTAAAGCATCCTCCTGAGGACTGAAGGGAGCATGAGACATTCAGGACGTTTCCTTTTCTTTCTGTTGATGATTTGAGACTCAACACAGTTCACAGCTGAGTTTCTAAACATGAACGCTGACCATAGACGAAAGCTCTGGGTTTGAGAGCACTATAACTAAATAATGGTTTACATCTCTACAACATCGATAGTGACACAGTGATCAAAGTTGTTTTATAGAAGCAAAAGCTGAGATGACGACATGTTTGCTAACCTGCAGGCTGCAGTTTGTTTTATTGCTAGTTTTGGGAGTGGGAAATGGACTTAAGAGACAAAACCCAGGGCAAACACATTCTCACTCTGACCTTGTCACATATCGACGTTTGGTCATGGATTTTCCACGTCCACATATGACGTCCAAGGTACCCTGAGTGTGTTGGTTGTCGACACCCTGGCACACCGTGTCAACTTCAGCCTGTTACATGCATTGTCTGTTTTCAAAATACAGGAAATGTACAGTTTGCATACTCTTTCAAAATAATAAAATAAAATAAATTGATGTTTTCTTTTTCCTTTCAACAACAAACGCACGTGGTTACGTTTAGCCAACACACGCATGTGGTTGGGTTCAAGAAAAGAGAACAGGGTTTGACTTTATAATCACACAGGAAGCAAACACCGGCCTCCCAGGTGAAAGTCGATGGTTGTTGGACCCATCCACCACCACTCCCACCTGCCCTACTTGGACTTTCGCCCCTTTTACTTATGGCGCTTTCTGGCTGCGTTTCCCGCTGACACTGCCGGGTGCCATTACAGAATAACGGCAACTAGTCACATATCATGCCGACATGAAAGTTCAGCTTTTTTTGCTGATGTCTGACGCTGACCAAGCGCCTGTTTTCGATGACTTTGGAGTGACATCAGGGTGGAGCCTATCCCACAGACACTGGGCAGAGGCGGGTTACACCCTGGACAGGTCACCAGACTATCACAGGGCTGACACATAGAGACAGACAACCATTCACACTCACATTCACACCTACGGACAATTTAGAGTCACCAATTAACCTGCATGTCTTTGGACTGTGGGAGGAAGCTGGAGCACCTGGAGGAAACCCACGCTGACACAGGGAGAACATGCAAACTCCACACAGAAGGGCTCTGGCTCCAGCAGGTTCAAACCTGGAACCCTCTTGCTGTGAGGCGACAGTGTTAACCACTGCACCACAGTGCTGCAAACAGTTTGGTGAGACTCCAGAGAGCTAAAACTATGAGCT